ACGATATAACGCTTGAGATCAGGTGAATAGCAACGATACCCTTTTTGAAAACGGGTATACCCAAGGAAAATACATTTGAAGGCCTTGGATGTCAACTTGTCTTCACCTGGAGTAAGATCATGAACAAAACAAGTACAGCCAAAAATATGTAAAGGCAGAGGATAAGAAGGTGCTCCGGAAAACAAAATACTGTGGGGAACATCATTATTTAGCACAGAAGAGGGCATGCGGTTGATAAGGAAACATGAGGTGATAATAGCATGCCCAAAAACGAAGTGGGACGTTCATATGAATGAGAAGAGTACGTGCAGTTTCAACTAGATGTCTATTTTTACGTTCAGCGACTCCATTTTGTTGTGGAGTGTGGGGACAAGTAGTCTGGTGTATCGTCCCATGTGTATCCAAAAATTTAGAAAATTCAAGAGACACATACTCTTTTGCATTATCACTGCGTAAGATTTGAATAGAAGCACCAAATTGAGTTTTTATTTCTGCACAAAACTTTTGATAAATTGAAAATAACTCAGAACGATTTTTCATTAAATAAACCCAAGTGCAACGGGAGAAATCATCAATGAAGGTTACAAAATACTGAAAACCCAAAAACTGACATAGTTCGACTCGGACCCCAAATATCAGAATGAACAATAGAAAAGGGAGCAGCAGCTCTTTTATTGACTCTACTAGCAAAGGAAGAACGAGTATGCTTTCCCTGCTGACAAGACTGACAATTCAAAGACTTAAGACCTGACAAAAAAGGAACCATATGCTGAAGCTTCGAGAGACTTGGATGACCCAGACGGCTATGGAGAAGCTCAGGAGACTCTGTGAGAGAGCATGCAACTGGAGCAGAGGGTGCATGCAGATAGTAGAGACCTCGTGACTCACCGCCCGCTCCAATCGTCTTCCCCGTACTCGGATCCTGCATAGAAAAAGACTGTTTAGAAAAGGTGATAGAGCAAGAAAGAGAATGGGTCAATTGACTAACAGAAATTAAATTAAAAGGAATGCCAGGGATGTAATAAACAGAGGTTAAAGTCAAGAAGGGAGTTGGTTTGGCTTGCCCAATGCCACGAGCAGGAGCCTTGGTGCCATCAGCAAGAGTAACAGAGGGAAGATTATTAGAAAAGGTAAGGGAAGTAAAAAGATCCTTATTACCACAAAGATGATCAGTAGCACCTGAGTCTATTATCCAGGGTCCAAGAGACGATTGAGAAAAACAAGCAACATGATTACCAGTATCTGGAGCAGGTGGCTGAGAAGAACTCTTCTGGAGAAGGGCCTCATAGTCTGCAGCGGAAATAGTCACTGATCCGGTAGAAGGCGGCACAAAATTTGTTTGAGCAAAGTTCATATGTGGTGGCTTCAAGTGAGGGTACTTTCTATAACAACGTTCTTCAATGTGGCCCAGATATTGGCAATAATTACATCGAGGCCTTTGTCCTCGGCCACCCTGTCCATACGACATCGTCTGTCCGCGCCCGCTGGGCCATATGAAGTCATGGGCCCGCGACCGCCTTGTCCGCGGCCACGACCGCGACCGCGACCACCATTGTTCCAATTACCACGAGAGACTAAAGCAGCAGAATCAGACAAGAGAGCAGTAGAGTCAGTAGCTGTGACGTGTGCGGGAGCCACCTTATCTTGAAGATTCAGAAGGCGCTGAAAGGTCTGGGATATGCTGGGAATCGCAGTACTGGTTAGAATGTTCTCACGAACACTTTCTAATCCGTCAGGGAGACCAGAGAGAGTCACAATCGTAAAGAGACGCTCCACTTGCGTCCTGTACACTGTAGTATCCGCAGCATGAGGTAACATAGCCAAAAATTCCTGCATCAAAGAACGAATCTTACCAACATAAACTTCCATACGAGCTTCGGGTGATTTGCGCAAATCCATCATCTGGGAGACAATGGAATAAAGTTGTTGAATATCATTGGTATGGAGGTTTTTGGCTTCCGTCCACACATCATAGCAGGTCTCAAAAGGAATGAAAATATTGAGAAGAGATGAATCAATGGATTGCCAAAGAATACTGAGGAGCTGAGCATCAACTTTCTCCCATTCAGTCATCTGATCTTGGGAAATATCAGTCTTCTTAGTGGTGAGATGTTTGTCATGGCCTTGACCGGTAAACCAGATCTTAACGGAGGTAGACCAGGTCTTGTAAGTGGCAGATCCGGTCAATTTCAGAGTTGTGATAGATGGAATAGCACTTGAAATGATGCCGGAAGAAAATGTTTACTGGTTCCTTCCATCAGGAACAACGATCAGACAACCAAAAAACTGTAAAAATTACGCGAAAAAGGAACAAAGTAGCGACTTTTGCACTAGAAACCCTCGAACGGAAGAGACCCACAACGATCGGTCACTGGATCTGGAAGGAGGAGGCAGAGGCGAGCTTGTCTGCCTTGGTTTGGTCGGAAAAGGTGGCCGGAACAGTGCACACGCGCCGGAGAGAGGTGGCGCGTGAGGCCCACGCGCAGACAGCTGTGGTGGCGCGTGGAGGCGCGTGCGGCGGCCGTTTGGGACGGGTCTTGGACAGAAATGGTCGCCGGCGTGAGGGGATCCTGATCGTGTGGTTTCTCGCCGGAAAGGTGGCCGGAACAGTGATGAACAGTGACGGAACAGTGTTTCTTGCGATGTGAACAGTGTTTTCTGGTCAAATAATGAAGGAGGATGACGATCTGAGATCGAAAAAGGGTCTAACAATGTTCGGAGGGTTGGAAAAGGTTGCCGGTATGATGCACGGCGGTAAAAAGGTTTGCTGGTATGATGCACGGCAGTACAACGAAAAGAAAAAAATATATATATGCGGAAGCAGAGCCCTCAGATCGAGAGCTCTGATACCAAATTGAATCTGAAATATATTGTATATTCAAGTGTGTAAGTCTGTACAAGGAGGCTCTCTATTTATAGAGACTAAAAAGACCTAATGGGCCAAGCCCACAATCTAGACTATTCTAGACTATTCTAATAATAATAAAATAATATTATTTCTAACAGATATTTCTTAGGAATCGAAGTAGCACAGTCTAGGAATGGCATTTCCATTTGTCAGAGGAAGTATGCACTGGATATCTTAGATGAGACTGGTATGTTGGGATGTAAACCCATTGATACACCTATGGATCCTAATATTAAGTTATTGCCTGGATAGGGGGAGCCATTGGCAGACCCTGGTCGTTACCGCCGACTAGTTGGAAAGTTGAACTATCTTACTGTGACAAGACCAGACATCTCTTTTTCAGTTAGTGTGGCAAGTCAATTCCTTGACTCTCCTTGTGACTCTCATTGGGATGCAGTTATCAGGATTCTTCGATATATCAAAAAGGCACCAGGAAGAGGTTTATTATACACTAATAAGGGGAATGCAGAAGTGTCTAGCTATTCAGATGCTGACTGGGCAGGTTCTCCTTCAGACAGACGATCCACCTCCGGGTATTGTGTTCTCCTCGGAGGAAATTTGATCTCTTGGAAGAGTAAGAAGCAAACTGTGGTTGCCAGATCAAGTGCAGAGGCAGAATATCGGGCCATGGGAAATGCGACCTGTGAGCTCATCTGGCTAAAGCAATTGCTTAAGGAATTACATCTCTGTGAACAACGGCCCATGAAACTCATTTGTGACAATTAAGCCGCATTGCACATATCCTCTAACCCAATCTTTCATGAGAGGACTAAACATATAGAAATTGACTGTCACTTTGTTAGAGAGAAGATTCAATCAGGCGAGATCGAGACAGCATTTGTCAATTCCAGTGATCAACTTGCAAATGTTTTCGCCAAGGCTCTTAGAGGTCCTCGAATAGATCATATATGTAACAAGCTGGGTGCTTATGATATATACGCACCAGCTTGAGGGGGAGTGTTAGAAATAATATTAGTTTTATTATTATTAGTTTATTATTCTAGAAGGTTATTTGGGCTTAGCCCATTAGGTCATTTAACCTCTTTAAATAGAGGACTCTTGTACAGCATTATACACAATATACAATACATTCATCCTTTTCAAGTAACCCGTTGTTGTTCCTATGTTTCAGATGGTCCCTTTTTAGTCCTTTTCCTCTTCAATCCCCCCTCTCTTTCTTTTCCCCTTCGTGTCTTTTATCTTATTTCCCCCTTCCCCAATATTTATTTTTATTTTTATTTCATTTTATTTTATTTTTATTTCATTTTATTTTATTTTATCTCCTCTTATTTATCATTGGGTTCATCTACCACCGACTCCAATTAACTTGGGTTAAAGGTGTTGATGATGTTGATATATGTTGAAATGTAATTATAAACAACCAAGCTTTGTTTCACTACTTTGGGTTAGTACATTGATCATTCAAAACCCAAAATTTGTAAAATTGTAAATATATTTATAACATATAAATTTCAACATTTGGTTGTGTAGATCAACGTTTGCATGAAATATAACATCTAAAAAAGACCCCTACAGTTAGTATAGTGTTACAACAATATCATTAGGATACAGGAAGAATGCATAAGAATTGAACATAACCTGGTTCTAGTTGAGTCATTTATCATAAACAGATTAAATTATTAATGTTTACTTGTCTGTTGCTGAATAATTTCATCATGTGCTCTTCAAGTCAGAAGGAATTTTCAAATTTACGCTAAGCAATGTGCCTGCTCAAATAAATTTAGCTGGGCATTAGTAGTCTGTATTATATAATTATCATGGAAAGGAGTTTGAAGAGGCAATACGTTGAAGATAATCCGACATTATCTTACTAGAGGACGATCAATGTAGTAAATTGACACATTCATTGTGATGGAATTATGATTTCAAATAATATTTGCAAATGTAGCATTCCATGTGATTTATGAAATGTTATATTATGGATTGGTTAGTAGTCTATGTCAATTCTATGTCCCGAAATATCTAATATTTTTGTCTTGTCAGATTACTTTAGTGATACACAGTCCTCAATAACTGTCGAACTGTTTCTTTTATTTCTTTAATGGTCTTGTATATTCTTTTTGCTTTGTAGTTTTTCAAGTGGAGGTGAAGATGGTTTTGTACGGTTACACCGCTTAGATCCTGATTATTTCAATATCAAAATATAGGGCTGGAGAATTTGTGGTTAGCTTTTAATTTCTTTCACTTAATATTTCTGTAATACCGATATGTTGACAAAAGCTCTTCTATGGGTAATCGGCAATGATTTTATGCCTGAAATTACCCCTTTTTTTGTTTTTGTTTCGTTTAATGACATTACGAATTTTGTTTGGAATGGAATTCTCCCATTTTGAAGGAGGTCTCTCTATCATGTCACTTGATCTGATATGAGATTTGACTTTTGGCATCCATTTGGTTTAAAGCATATATATTGTGAGAAACTTTGTTACTTCGATTTTATTTTTATTTTTTTATTGTTTTCAATTCTGTTCCTTTGTCTAGGAAGGATATTCGGTTTGAATTTTGAAAATTACATTTCAACTTATTTCCAATGTGTATCCTCTATATGTCTGTAACACTTGGCACTTCCACGAGAGTTAATAACTTCTGAATAAGTATCCCGATAGGCGCACCTAAAGTGATTAGGAAACAATAAAATTGACTTTCAAGATAGGTTGTTGGTTGGAATGAAGCCTTCTATGTTAATAAATACTTCAAAAGTCTTGTTCTCATCTGTTACATGTAACACCCTCAACAATAGACCTGTCAAAAAGGGCAACAGCCCTAGGGCTAGCCCATTCAGCCTTGTCAAAGCCCCATTAATTTTTCAGCCCTTTGTGTGGTAGGGCCACTACCACCGACCCCAATTAATTTGGGATAAAGGTGTTGTTGATGTTGATGTTGATGTTGATGTTGATGTTGTGTGGTAGGGCCATCTTAGCCCTAACCCTATAAGGCCTTTCAATTTATTGGGTTAGGTTAGGGCTGGCTCGTGGATCAAAAGCATTCAACTTATTTTCCGTCACACTACATAATTTTCTCGGGAAAATCATTGTTTTCCTTTCTGTCAAACCCTAGTTTTGTTGTGTTCTAGTAGATTCACCATCACCCTTCCGTGATACTCAGATTCCAATCACAAAGCCTCTCGCTCTTGCACCCACTCAGCTATCTAATATACCCATTTCACCCAAATTCAACAAACCTTTTTCAACAATTTGTGTCAGCGACGAGCTGAACACCATCGCTTCTCAGAACCTCGACTTCGACCCTAGCAGAGATGGGCTCGAGAAGCTTTTACTGAGTTGCAGCAGCACCTTGACCATTACTAATTCAAGGTTAGATGTCTCTTCACCATGTTTTTCTTTACTGGGTGTTCTTTGTGCTTTGATAAAGAATCAGTGAGTCATAAACTAATATTTAAATCTCTTACTTTGATTGTCTCTGATTGGCAAGCTAGACTGCTGCTGTTGGGATCAGAACTGAAGAAGTAAGATTTTTTAAGCAAAAAATTTAGGGACTGCAAGGTGGCCCTCATAATCACACTATTACTGGTTTAGCTGTTGCATTGAAGCATGTACATGTTTAGAGAAGATAAAGATGATCTTTACTTTACTGTTGTTTAACTTTTGAGAGACTGATGAAAGGGATCCGTGCCACCCTCTATTGGACGAGGGCAGAGGCCAAATCTACATGTTGTCTAGTGCAACTTTGTTTCATTTCTCTGGCTTAGAGTAATATTGAACTTAGAGATATAATAAAATTATTTATGCAATATCTAATTTTTTTTTTATCCAATTCAATTCGAGGATTGCCCTATTCATATCAGGGATTGATTAAGGAGAACAAATTAATAGACATTGATTAAGGAGAACAAATTCCTTGCCATTTGTACCAATGGTTGTTGTTAATGGTAACACCTTAAACTCTTATAGGAGAGTTGATTTGTGACACAGTATTAGACCTTCTCTAACCTTTCTCAGACCACCCCAATAACTTAAAACTTTTTAGGAGAGTTGATTAGCGACAAATACTCAAATAGCTTTAATATTTCTATGCTTATTCAAATTATAAACAACTTAAAAGTGAAGAGCAACAAAGATTTCTTAATAGGGCTGGCAAATTTTCAGTAGCACAGAATGAAACTATGTCATCTGTACTGGAAGATGCTTGAAAATAAAGACCTTTTAAAGGGAGAAAGGAGCTTGACACTAATATTACCCAAACCAAGAAAAAGTTTAGGACAAAAGGTGGATCTTAGATCCCTAATTCTTCACCATTTTTGTCAATAGTCAGAGGTATGCATCACATTTCACCTGTTTGCTTCCTTCATACAAATTGTGCATTAAAATAAAAATAAAAAATTGACTTATGTAGGTAATGTAATAAATCAAGATTTGTTGCAAAAGCCAAAAAAAAAAGAAAAAAGAAATCCACGTGAGTGGGTCTATAAGGGGTTAAGGGCACACTAATTACTACAGATCTTTCAAGAAAAAAGAAATCCACGTGAGTGGGTCTATAATGGCTGAACCAAAGCACAATATTTCCTCTCCCTTCTATAAAAAGTGTGTTTTGTCTCGATCTCTTTGTTTGTATTCTTATGAACCTTGCCCTTGTGGTCATCGCCTACAAAAAGCCATTTTAGTAATAGGTGCTGTGAAGGTTCCTTAATTGTAGAATTATAATCCATTTTTCACTTAAATTTTAAATATTTTGCTTTTTAAATATTTTCACCTTAACATGTGGATGCTCGGTGGTTCTTTTTTTTTTTTTTCAATGTCAATATGCTGAATATGTGAAATCTGGTTTAGCAGAATTGGATTTGTGGTGCTAAAATTGGAGTCGTGGTGCTGCCAAGCAATGTAACAGGAGCCAACACTTGCTCTACCTCCCAGCAGGGCCATTTCTCTTTAGTGGTTTAGTACATTGCTCCTCCTCCAGCTCCTGCCCCTGTACCAAGTGCTCAAGGGGAGAACAATGGTAACAAGAAGGTCTGGGTTATTCTTGGGTCTGTCCTGGGAGGACTTGTGTTGTTGGTGTTGTTTTGGTTACTAGTTTTGTGGGTGCTCAAGTGCAAGCAAAACAAGAAACTACAACAGATGGAAAGGGCTGCAAGGGGGGAGAACCTCTTCATGTGGCATCTGTTGGGGATACAAAAGCACCTTCTGCAACAGTTACTCGAACACAACCTATCCTTGAACAAGAATATGCACCGACACCCTATTTTTGCATGTTCCACTCATATTCAACTCAATTCCTGTATTCAGAAATTCTTGCCAACACCTTTTTGCTTCTCCCCGTTTGTTTGCTTAGGCTCTTGGTTAATTTATACCGGTGGTAATACAAGATTCTTGTGTAAATCTGTTTATCTCCATGATTCATTGTGGTGTGAATGTAGCAGCCCAAAGTGATTGTATATGTGATGGATTCAGTTGTTCAAATTGACAAGGAATAAAAAAATGTAGCACCTACAGAAGGGTACTGAGTTTTTGTAAACTGATCATGGCTTCTTGCGGAAGGGTACTTGGTTTCTGTAAACTATCATGGCTTTGAGCTTTTGTAGCAGTACTAGACAATTCTGACAAATTGAAATAACTGTAACAAATTATATACAATTCTGCCCAAATTGTATTAAGTTTATTTTTTAACAAAAAAAAAAATAGATATTGAATTTTTGAATGACCCGCGGACTGGCCCTAGCCCATAGAGTTTTTGGCCCATGCGAACCTTTATTATTAAAGGTCATTTGGCCCTGTGGGCTTTTTGGTCTTAACTTACACAGACTAGGGCCTAATAGGGCGAGCTAATCTATTTTGACACCTATACTTAACAACACCAATGATAACAATAAAATACATGATTTTTCGTTTTATCTTATTCCATAATTGAGTTTGATGATTAGATTAACAAATTATAAGGCATGCTGTGTCCGCACCATGAAATAACTAATTTAATATAGAATTAACTTTAATTATGCTAAATATTTAACGTTGGTGATTAAAGCCACTGACATAATTGTGGCGGGTTCAACTTCAAGGTAAACATCACATACTCTAGTTAAATGCATATGCAATTTTATTTAATTAATGTGTGGTAACCTTACCGCATTATTTCAAATTGGGAAATATCATAACATACACCACGAATATTATTGTAACACCCTCTATAAATTAAAGATCTTGATTTCAATAATGTTGTTGCAATAAAATAAAGAAATTTTGGAGGGAGCCAGAGTTGATAGCTGATGTTAATTCTACACTTTTGGTTCTCATTCCTAAATCTCACAGTCCTGAATTGATTTCTCAGTATCGGCCTATCTCTTTGTGTACAGTGACCTATAAATTGTTGTCAAAGCTTATTGTGCAACGTTTGCAGCCAATTATGGAGAAGATTGTTTCACCTTGGCAAGTCAGTTTTGTTCCCAATCGTCAGATTCAAGACAATATCATCATTGTGCAAGAATTGATTCACTCAATGCATAAAATGAAAGGTAAAAAGGCTTTTATGGCAATGAAGATTGACCTTATGAAAGCTTATGATAGAATCAGTTGGAATTTTTTGAAGCGTATTTTAGAGGAAATTTCCTTTCCAGAGCAGTTTATCAATCTAATCATGAATTGTGTTAGTTCATCTAAGATTAATATCCTTTGGAATGGGGGCAAAACTGAGGATTTTAAACCATCTAGAGGAATTCGGCAAGGTGATCCATTATCTCCTTATTTGTTTGTGCTTGCAATGGAGAAGTTGGCTCACATCATATCTACTGCTGTGGAGGGTGGTCTTTGGGAAGGGATGCGTGTTGGAAGAGGAGGGCCAGAAATTTCTCATTTAGCTTTTGCGGATGATCTCATGATTTTTATGGAGGCTTCGGAGGATCAGATTAATATTCTTATGAAGTGTCTTAAATTTATTTGAGGAAGTTTTAGGTCAAAAGCTTAGTGTGGAGAAAACTTCTATTTTCTTCTCAAAAAACACAGGAGAAGAATTAATTGGCAGAATTATCCAGAAAAGCAGGTTCACTAGAGTTAAGAATGTTGGTAGGTATCTTGGTTCAATGATGCAGCATGGGAGAGTTAGTAAGGATCTCTATGCTAATATTGTGGAGAAGGTAAAAGGTAAGTTAAGCAACTGGAATATGAATTGTTTATCTCAAGTTGGCCGAATTACACTGGCCCAATCTGTTATGGCAGGGGTTCCTTATTTTCAAATACAGAGTTGTAAATTACCTGCCTCGGTTTGCAAAGATGTTGAGAGAATTCAAAGAGATTTTATTTGGGGGGATAAGGATGGTATCAGAAGGCATCATTTAATTAACTGGCACATAGTTACTTCCCCAAAGAGGTTTGGTGGGTTGGGTCTTAAGAGGTTAGATGTAATGAATGATGCTTTTTTAGCTAAACGTAATTGAAAAATGTTCTCTGATCAGGATCAGCTTTGGATTAGAGTTCTCAAAGCTAAGTATATGTCTAATAATAGAAAGGATTTGTTTTTTGTGGAAAGGAATGGAGACTCCAATCTCTGGAAAAATATGTGCCGGATTTGGAAGAAATTAGATGAGCTACTGGTGTGGGAACTTGGAGATGGCAAAAGTATCCGGTTCTGGTGTGATCAGTGGTTAGCTAATGGTCTTTGTTTGCAAGATATGCTTCTTACAGGTACATGTAATATCAATGTTAATGATAAAGTTGCTGATTTTATTTTACATTCAGGGGATTGGGACTTGCCTAAACTTCAGCAATGGATTAGTCCGACTGCTATTGGTTTGCTGCAAGCAACGTTGCCTCCTTGTCTTGATGACGGGCCAGATAGAAAGCGGTGGTCTATTAGGAGCAATTCATCAGTTGCTGTCAAGGATGTTTACAGTTGGTTGACTGTTGGCAGTGATGCAGATGTGGGTGATGATTCTCTGTTTAATCGGTTATGGCATTGGGCTGGTCCTCAGAAGGCTAAAATACTAATGTGGAAAACTCTTCATAAGAGATTGCTTGTCATGGAAAAAACTGCTCAGTGGGGAGGAGGGTCGAATTTATGTCCTGTATGTAAATCTGATTGTGAGACTATTATCCATGCTCTTCGGGATTGTGTTGAGGTGAAAAATCTTCGGAGTTTGTTGATTCCCCAATCTTTCTGGACTATTTTCTTTGATGCAGATTTGGAGTATTGGCTCGAGATCAATTTGAAAGGCAGCGCGAGTTTGAGCTTGCCAGAATTTTGGGTCTCTGTTTTTTCCTTTCGGTTTGCAAGATTTGGAGCTGGCGGAATGATGTCAGTCATGGGGCCAGTATTTTAGATGTGTCTTCAAGGGAAAGGATCATTCGTAATCTTGTGACAGAGGTTGATCATGCTTTTCAGTCGTCTAACAACCATCAGTTAGGTAAGAGGACTGTTGTTATGAAAATTTCGTGGCAATTTCCAGTAGAGGGGTATGTAAAGCTTAATATTGATGGGGCAGCTAGAGGGAATCCAGGTCCTGCTGCTTATGGGCTGTCATTCGTGACTCGTCTGGACGGTGGTTACATGGTTTTGCTTGTAAACTTGGTGTCTGTTCAGCTTTCAAGGCTGAATTGTGGGGAATCCTTCGAGGTTTAGAGATTGCGTGGAGTGAAGGTTTTCGTAATATTGAAGTTGAGAGTGATTCAAAGAGTGTTATCTCTGTGCTCACCAAAGATGGTGCAGCAGTCCGTGAGGGTCATTTGATTTCTCGAATACGGACATGGTTACTTAAAGATTGGAGTATAAAGTTGAACCATATTTTTAGAGAGGCCAATTCTTGTGCAGATTGGATGGCTAACTATATTCTGGATGCTGAAGAGGGTGTTTCTTTCGTGTCTTGTGAGGCCCCTCCTTCTGGTGTTTCTTGGTTGTATTTAGCGAATCTCTCTTCTGTGGGTAGAGATCGTGTTGTAGTTGTTGCTTAGTTTTTTGTTTGTTTGGGGCTTTTGCCCTTTTATTTACCAAAAAAAATAAAATAAAGAAAAAAGTATCGTAGCTCAAATATCCAAGAGAGAATATGTCTTCGTCGAAATAATACATTAGAGGATAACATTTTTCTCAATCTAGCTTATATACAGAGAGATATGATATATGAGGATTTGAATACTCTCATGTGAAAAAATTATCATGTGATCATGTTATTTGATCACAACCATTCACTTTCACTCATTAATAATGAGATAAGAAAGACGAAAATATATAATTTTTAAATAAGTGGTTGTGATCAAATAACATGACCACATGATCACTTTTTCACATGAGAGGATCCAAATCCGATATATGAAGTTTTTTGTTTGTAATGCTTTGTCTCTTAGTTAATTTTTGTGGCAGAATCCTTATCTTCATCAATGGTGTTCTTAAGTGGATTGATGAGGCTCAAATGTGCAATGAACGAGGGGATTGACTATTGATTTACGTATCAACTTAAGAATCGTGATATGGAGAATCAATACCTTTATAAGAGATATGTATCAGTGTTTAATGGAGTGATCTTCGTGAGAAAGAAGGAAAAAGATAGGCTTTTGGAATGACTAGTCAGGGTATTAGGTGTTCAACCCCTTATATGGTGTTGCAGTAACGTGAATGATAAGTCTTGGTAACTAGGGTCATGTTGCGACTGAGGATGTCGTGTTTGATATTGGAATCATCATTTTAGGAGATAGGGTGCATTTAATGCATGAATATGGTTGGAGTTACTGCTTTATCTTGTATTAATGAATAAAGCATAGGACCCAATGACAAGTCTAAATAGAAGTGCCCAACTTTGTATTGCGTGAAGACATAATGCCAAGATGAGATCTCAATCCTTGATCAAAGGTGCAATAGGATTTAAATTTTGGGTTGGCCTGTATATTAAAGATGCATCTTAATCCCTTTGGTGAGTATCATGCGGAGATTGGGTTTCAATTTTCAAATAGGTTTAAGACTTGGACATTTTGGAACGTCCGTTCGAATGTTTAAGGTGTGCTACCTTTACGGCAATGGATGGCCATGTGGTACGCTTTGATTGTTTGAGATACATATTGGGAAATGCTCATAATGATTGTGCAGTGAAGGTTTTCCCCTTCATTAAAGTTGCTTGGGAAATGACCATTTTAACCCTTCTTTTTATTGGGATTTCACACATTTACCCTTGCCTCTTTCAAATTTCTTTGCATATATTTTCATCTTTTTTACTTTACCTTTTTGCTTCCTTTCTTACTACAAAGTTATTCTCTTGCTTTGATTTCTGGTTTCCTTTCTTATGATTTCTCTTGCTGTCACCATTGCTAATCACTGTCAAGTTGTTTTCTTCATTTGCTCAGGTAATACATCCCTTCTTAAACACTATTTATCATACTTATCTTGTTTTCTTCTGGTTACTAGCAATGTATGTGGTTAGGAGAGCACACTGCCTCCATAGTTGTTGTAGGGGTTTTGAGGGATTCTATCCTCATTTTCTTATGCAGGGGGAGGTAGAGGTTTGT